TGACGCGCCGCGCGCATGCGCCCACCGCCGAGAATCCCACGTGACCGGCACGGGGCCCGCCCATCTTCACTGCGCAGGCCCAGACGAGATCACACGCCTACCACACACACGCCCCACTTGGCTGGACACTCCAGCCAAGCCAACGCCCACTTGAACTGTACACAAAACTGAGTAGTTCTAAAGTCAGAGGTCACTGTTGGACTTAGGAAGTTTGCGTTCCCTGGGGATCTCACGCGCGCGCGCTTTCTCTTTCTTTTCTTTTCTTTTCTTTTTTTTTTTTTTTTTGAGGTAGGTATAGTACAGGCTGGCCTTGTGAACTCGCTTACCTAAGCCCAGACTGGTCTCAACTCCCTGTGACCCTACTGCATCAGCCTCCTCCCAGGTGCTGGGATCACAGGCGTGCGCTGCCACGCCCAGCTTTTTAAAGGAGAGACGAGCCAGCCCGGGGCTGCAGTGTGCGCCTGTCATCCCAGCACCTGGGAGGCTGAAGCAGCGTGATCGCCGGGAGTGCGAGGCTAGTTTGGGCTATAGTGTCAATTCAAGATCAGCCTGAACTACGTAGCCAGACTGTCTCAAAACAAAATTAAATTCGTTAAGAAAATAGAAGCTACCAGGAATTTCTCTTTGTGCCTTGACTAAATCAACAAAGTTCCCAATATCAGCCCAAATATAGCCTCTTTGCACCTTCTTTAAATAGCAAAATGTTACTGCTACTGAAGGCAGTCCCTGCACCTAGAAACAGAATCCCATCGCTGGGCACTTCCTTCTGTCACTGTCTTCTATGAGTCCCGTATTGAAAAGACTGGCTGAGACGCTGCCCATTCCTCTCAGCCTCCTCCACAGCATACATCTTTTTTTATTTTTTATTTTTTATTTATTTATTTTTGTCTGTTTCCTTTATTATCGGTACCGGGGATCGAACTCACGACTGCCTGCTTGCAAGGCAGGCGCTTATGCCGCTGAGCTAAATCCCCAGCCCCCACAGCATACTTCTTAACAGGAAACTGTGGATCACATCCTCTCTGCCATTCTCCTTCTGCAATTCATTCCTGTTTCTCACTACAGTCTTAGGGGCAAAATGTCAAACTTAAAATAACTGTCCAATAAGCACCATGTGCCCATCACCTAGAATTTACAGTTAACATTTGCTGCCTTTGATTTGGCACTTAACACCTATCCACCCGTCAGTCTGTCCAGAAGTTCGAGTTTTTCTTGATGCATTTCAAAGTGCAAGCATCAATACATTTCTTCCCTAAATACTTTCACATGAATATTATTAACTACAATTCAACATTTGTTATGGTCCTCTCCAATTTTTATGTGACTTTTCAAATATACATAAAATACACAAGTCTTTTGTGGATTATTTTGGTCAATGTTAACAAGTGGACATGAGTAAACCTAACCTCTATAAAGACAGGTTCTCAGCAGGGCATGGTAGTGAAGCCTGTAATTCCAGCACTCTGATGGGCTGAGGCAAGATCTCAAATTCAAATCCAGACCAGGCAATTTAGACCCCATCTCAAAAATTATCTGTGTGAGCTGGGCATGGTGGCTCACTCCTGTAATCCCAGCACTTTGGAAGCTGAGGCAGGACGCTTGTTGCAAGCTCAAAATCAGTTTAGGCTACAAAGTGAGCTCAAGGCTAAGCTAAAACTGCATTAGTGAGACCCTGTTTCAAAAAGACCAAAAAAAGGGGTTGGGGATTTAGCTCAGTGGCTTAAGCGCCTGTGGGCAAGCGCGAGGTCATGAGTTTGATCTCTGACACACACACAAAAAAAATCTTAATTTGGGGCTGGGGATTTAGCTTAGCAGCATAAGCACCTGTCTTGCAAGCAGGGGGTCGTGAGTTCGATCCCAGGTACCGACAAAAAAAAAAAAAAAGCTGTGGGTGGTGGCACAGACAGGTAATGTCAGCACTTGAGAGGTTAAGGCAGGAGGACTGCTGTGAGTTCGAGGCCAGCCTGAGCTACATAGTGAAGTCATGGCCAGCCTGAGCTACATAAGTGAGGCCCTGACCCAAATAAATGGGGCTGGATATGTTATCATCCCCAAGTCCTCCCATGTCCCATCAGGAGCAGTTCCCATCCCCAACTCCAATCACATATGTAGTACTTTGTGTTAGAATTCTTGCATCCAGTATAATTTGTGAGGTATGCCCATTTTTATTACATGATTTGGCAGTTTGTTTGAATTGCTAAATAACTATTACTATAGTATTGTATATGCTGAGTAAATCTTTGTAATTATAGGTATGAGCCTTTGTCAGATACATATTTTGTAAATATTTTCTCCTGGTGTGTGGCTTGCCTATCAATATCCTTACCAAGTTGGAGCCAGGCATGGGGTGCACATCTACAATCCCAACACAAAGGCAGGTGGATCGCAAGTTTGAGACCAGCCTGGGCCACGCAGCCAGTTTGAGGCCAGCCTGAATTACACAACAAAGCCAGCTCCAAAGTGGAAGGAAGAGCCACATCAGGTAGACTCCTACATGATCCAGCCTACTGCTCCCATCCTATCTGTTGCTGCTCTCTCTCTCTGTCTCTCACTAGCTTTCAACAATTTCCGGCATCAAGTGATATTTCTTCCCATTTTGGGGATTTTGGGCCTGCTGTTCTTATCACCTGCAAATCTTTGCATGACTTTTTCTTTTCTCTTTCTTTTTGTTTGTTTGTGTTGGGGTTTTCTGTTTGTGTTTTAGAGACAGGTCTCCCACTGTAGTGTAGTGCAGGCTGGTCTTGAACTCAGTGACATGATCTCCTGACTGAGCCTTCCCAAATGCTGGGATTACAGTTGTGTACCATCACACCCAGGTGGCTGCTTTTTTATCCTTCTTGTGTCAGTTGAGAGTACACACAACACACCTAGGAAATGTAGGTAAACGAAGCAGTTACACAAAGTATGCATCAAAGAAATACCTGGTGTTACATGCTACTGGGGACCTAAATCAGACAACACATACATACAGTTAATGTATCAAGTTGCCCGTAATTCTGATATAATTCCTAGGGTACAATGTATCAAATAAGTAAGAGTTCAGTACCCTGATGAAGGAAGCAAGAATTTTTCCCCAGTACTAGGAATTGAATCCAGGACCTTTACATTGAGCTACATCCCCAATTCTATTTTTATTTTTTTGAGACCTGGTTATTGCTGTATAGCTAATAGGTATGACTTTGGAATCCTGACTCAGCCACCCAGAGTACTAAAATTACAAGCCTATGCCACCATGCCTGCCTGGGGCAAGATAAAAAAAAATCATCCACTGTTACAGCTTGTATCTAGATGTCCCCCAAAGCCTAATGTGGTCACAGGTGGCCTTTTCAGAGGCAGCTGGATCTTGAGTGTGTGGTGCTGGGATCAAGGATGCAAGCTGGAATTGATTCACAGTGCCATGCTAGGATTAAGATGGGGGACCCTAGGTAAAATATATGGGACAGGAGATACAGCTCAGTGGTATAGTGCCTGCCTGACAAGTGCAATGTCCTTAGTGATTTTTGGTACCAAAAAAATACATGTATAAATATAAGGAACAGAAGATCACTTGCCATTAGCTACTTACTACTTTGCTTCTTCACTGCTTGGATGTCTTCTCCTATGCTGCCCTGTCCTGGAGCCAGCCAACTATGTAATGAAATCTCCCATGAACTACGAGCTACAATCAAGCGTCCCTCCTTTAAATTTGGATGTGAGGTATTCCTCTCAGCAATGAGAAAAAGTAACTAAGACAGCCACTCACCTCTCCACTACCTTTGTAAGGCCTTGATGGCGATCGAGGGCCAGTGTCTCAGTCACCAACCCCGGGATCAAGACACCACACATGTGATAAACCATAGGAGTCCACAGACAGGGAAGACAGGAAAAGGGGAAAAATGAAGATAAAAAAAAAATGCTTGGCAATCTGTCAGTGGAAAATAACCTAACAAGATGCATGTGCCTCTGTGTGTGTGTGTGTGTGTGTGTGTGTGTGTGTGTGTCTTACTAGGGATTGTACCCTGAGCCTCATGCATGCTGCACAACTACCCTACCACTAAACTTCACCCCTGGCCTGTTTTTACTTTTATTTTGATATGGTTCACATTAAGTTGCCTGGTTTGGCCTCCAACTTGTGAGCCTCCTGCCTCTGCCTCCCAAACAGCAGGAATTAGTACAAGTGTACACCTAGCACAAAATATACTTTGAGTTACCTAGTTGAACGAAATTAGATACAAATATTATTATATTATTTAAATATTATAATGTTTTGCATTTGTGCTTCAATAATATAAAAGCAAGAAACTGTCAAAATAAGGATAAATTTTATTTTTTTAATATCCTGTGTATATTAACAGATATAGAATGCAAATTTTATTTAAAAATATTTGCCATTCCCTTTTATTGAAACATAACTAAGATACTTATTTTATACATTTAAATTATTTTAAGATTAATGACAATAGTTAGCTACAATGTGGACCAGAAATGAAAATATACAAAATAGTTTCAGAAACACATGTATTTCTACTTTCTATTACACTTTTAAAAAATCATACAAAGATACATATTTATTTTTGAAATAAAGACATTGAAAATGAAACCAGTTCATCAAATTTACATACATAAGATAAGACAGCTTTTATACAAAAAAAGATACAGAAATAATTTTCAACTTAGTTTTCTGATATCAAAGATAGTATCAGTTCTATATATCACTATTTTTTTTTTGTCTTTTTGAGACAGGGTCTCGCTGTACAGTTCAGGCTGGCCTTAGGCTCACTTTGTAGCCTAGGCCGGTCTCAAACTTGCAACAATCCTCCTGCCTCAGCTTCCTGAGTGCTGGGATTACAGGCGTGAGCCACCATGCCTGGCCATGTCACTATTTTTATTTTTATTTATTTATTTGTTTGTTTGTTTGTTTGTTTATTTATTTATTTAGTCTTTTTCTTTTTTATCGGTACTAGGGATCGAACTCACGACCACATACTTGCAAGGCAGGCGCTTATGCTGCTGAGCTAAATCCCCAGCCCCCCATGTCACTATTTTTAAATATGGAATTTTAACTGTTCTTTTCCTAATATTGTCATGCTTACAATAAACATAAAAGTGCTCTAAACACAGGAAGTAGAATTCTTACATTTTAAACAACTTTGTTAATATAAAGGATAGTAATCAAATCATATTTTATATTTCTGCATAAGTTTATATGGTACTAAAATGACTTTACATTGGAAGAACTAGTTGACATCATGATATAACAGCTTAGTAACATTCTCTGACGGTCATGTGTACATTAATGGCTATTTCACAGTTCACTTTTACTTCTCTAGTATACAGCAAACAATTCAACAAAACGTAACTGTGGTGCTATTCTGTTTTTAAGAACAAAGATTCTCTGTATTATAACTGCCTGTGAGAAACACATTCACTTTAAAAAATATACATAAATCACTCATAGTATCTGGTCATAACTTCTGCTCAAAACCTGATACTTTGTTTATTAATACAACATTTTAAACACATTTGTTTTATTTAAAAATGAAGGAAAAGCATTTCTCCTTTTATCCAGTCAAGCAGAATTATAAGAGAAAAAATAGAACTTAGTCTGTTTTTATCATTCTGCTGTAATTTAATCAAGCCTGTGTATTTTAACAATAAACAATGTTAGAGTTTTTATAAAATCATGATTACAGGCTTAGGGTGTAGCTCAGTGGCAGATTGCATGCTTACATGTTCAAGACCTTGGATTTGGTCCCCAGCACAAAAAAAAAAAAAAGCAAGAAAAAAACTTATGATTACATTAAAAGCTTGGAGCAGTGTAATAAAGCTAATGGCAATCTCCTGAACGCCAGTGTGAAGTTACAAACACTGCACTTCTAAACAATACTTTAAACCAGTTTCAGATAACCTAACTGATTATCCAGCATCAGTTTAGGAATTTTTCTTCAATGTTCTAAGATGTAACGATTGGCATCTAAAAGTAAGTTAAGCACTTTTGATTTGTGACTTAAAAAAAAAAATCAAGTATTACAATAGCAGTGGTTTCTGTGCTAGGGTAAATAACCCCCTTCAAGTAATGCTTCTCCTGCATTTAATTTTCCCTTCAGAGAGTTTATAAAGGAAAAGAAACCCCGAGTGACAATTTTTTTTTTTTAGTTAAGGTGAAAAAATTGCTTCATAAGTTCATACGTCGTAAAAGCTACGGCTTGAGAAGGAATGCAGCGAATGTAATTAAGAGATAAACCTCGGTAAAGTCCCTTGCGGATCCCGTGGTGCCCATAGACATACTTCATAGTCTCCCGCATGGTACTGAAAAACAGCAGGTTAGCAAAGCAATAAACTCAGCATTTTAAAATAGCACTTTATTTTTTTTAAGAAAATATTTTAAAAAGGAGCTAACCCCTTTGAATGTAGTCATTTGTACTACAAGCATGTACTAACAAAAATTAAAATTTTGACCAGCTATGGAAGCACATGCCTGTAATCCCTGCACTCAGGAGGCTGAGGCAGGCAGGAAGACTGCCATGACTTCAAGCTCAGTTTGAACTACACCTTATATAAATGTTGCTCTCAGAAAATTTTATCCTTTTTTTTTTTTTTGAGACAGGATCTCACTATACCCCAGGCTGGCCTCAAACTCAGAGCAATTTTCCTGCCTCAACCTCCCAAGTGCTGAGATTACAGTTATGTACCACCATGCCTGGCAAAATCACTTATATTTCTATTTAACAGAGCTGCTCTTTTTTTGAGATACAGTATTGCAATGTAGTTCAGGTTGGCTTTAATTGCCATGTATCCCAGGCTGGCCTGGGTCTTGAACTTGCTGTGCTCTTCCTGCCTCAGCCTAAATGCTGGGATTACAGTATACACCACTGCACCCTGCTGAAACAGAAGTTTCGAAGAGTGTGGGAACCTGAGTGAAGCCTTCTTAGGTTAGCACAGCCTACTATGGGACATCAGAACTGCTGAGACAGGGACCTATCTTCCCATTGATCTTAACATTACATTTCCCAAAGAAAATGTACAATGATATGTGGAGAACTTACAGGCACTTTTCAAATTCTGGCAGAACAGTCCCTAATTGCATTCGCCGACGAGTTACATCAAATGGGTAGCTATAAGAGAAAAAAGCATAAAGACTTAAAAATAATTTTTCATTCACTATTCAACCACTACTGAATGAAAGTCAGGAAATAATATGTCCCTATGCTACTATTAGGTTTTTTTTTTTTTTTTTTTTTTTTTTGCATTATTGTTTTGTTTAATCTAGGAATCAGGATATAAGCACATGAAAAAAATCAATGAGGTAGCCAGGTATGGTGGCACATTCCTGTAACCCTAGTACTCCAAAAGCTGAGGCAGGAGAATTGCCACAAGTTCAGGGCCAGCCAGAACTACATAGTGAGATTCTGTCTCAAAAAACAAAACAAAAAAATCAGTGAAGGGCCAGGGTTATATAGCTCAGTGGCACAGCACCTGCCTAGCAAGTGCAAAGTCCTGAGTTCCAATTCCCAGTACCAGAAAACAAAAACAACAACAAAAAGAAATCAATGAACAATACAGGGTCTCCTTCCTCTCTCAGAGGATGCCCCATCACAATATCAAGGTCTGTGTACTCTGTAAAGACAAATTAAATGCTGATTTCTGAAGAAAAAAATAGTGCTTTTCATTAGGGCTTCTCCACTTCGTGTTTGTTGTTTAATTTTAAAAACAGCCTATGTTGTCCGGCCTAGCAGTGAACTTGCAGCAATCCTCTTGCCCCTCCCTAGGGGCTGGAGTTACAGCTCTCCAGTCTGCCCTACTGACATTTTGGATCATCCTCTGTTGTGGAGGGTTGTTAGTGCATTTTTAAGATGTTTAAGTGCCATGGTCATTATTAAAACCTTATAATACAAAAAAAAATTAAGTGCATTCCCAGTCTCTGCCCACAAATGCTAGTAGCACCCCCACAGTTGTGGCCAAATATCCACTGGACACTACTGCCAGTCCAACTGGAAATGACTGCTAGAATTTTACAAGTTCTCCTGATTACAGTAGGCTACTACAAAATATTCTTTAAGAGCTAGAACTGATATGAATTGCATTTCAAGGACATAGGAAATTAGACTTCCAAACATAGCCTCTCCAAGAGTGATTTTTAAAGCTCCTTTCATCTTTGCCAACACTAGTTGCACAGATGACTTATGCAAAGTCTCTCTTCTCCTCTTCAGGACAACTGCATGAAAAACACACGTACTTTGCAATGTTACAAAGCTGCTCTCTGCTTTCCTATCTGAAGTTCTCCCTGGTATGTAATAGACAAGAGTGATGCATAATGAAAGTAATTACACATTTAAATTTACTATTAAAAAACAAAGAGGAAGGTTGAGAGCTAAAGACTGTTCGAGAGACAGACAAGGAGGTAATATTGGGGTTTTGTTTTCGCAGTGCTGAGCACAAACCCGGGAGCTCTGGCCTGTACCCTCCGGCCCTGAAGGGAAATATCGGCAGCATGGGATTTTTGTTGATGCCAAACCACGCAGGGACACGCAGATGCTCCATAGGTGGCGTGGGGGTCAGGCAGACGGTGGAAATAGATGTGATTTTCTGTGTTTGTACTGAAACTATGAAGACAGACAAGCTGTTCCACACCCAGATTTAGACAGCAGAAGACTGAAGTCTGGCTTAAGGAGGAACAAGAGGCTACAAGTCAGAGACAGCGGAAACCAGAAGACAATGTCACACTAGCATGAGAACAAAAAAGACAGTGGGGAGCTCGTTTGATCATGAACACACAGGTGGGGATCTAGTGGAAGCAGTGGGAGCTCAGGGCTGGCAATTTTGGGGGCAAATCTTCATCCAATTTCTAAATTAGAAAAGAAAGATTATTGAGACTTCAGAAACACAGATCAGACTTCTTTGGACAGCAACTATTATTCGGTAACATAGCAGCTTATTAGTATTCAAAATTAGATGTTTAAACCCCTATGGCTGGCCACACTTGTAATCCCAGAGCTCAGCAAGCAAGGGAGGAGTATGCTGAGTTCAAGGATAACCTGGGCTCCATAGTGAGGTGAAGGCCATTCTGACTACATCACAAGACCCTGTCTCAAAAACAAAATGGGGATAGGTTTTAAGAGTCTAAATTGAAAAAAATAAAATAAAAAATAAAAAAGAATCTAAATTGAGTGTTAATACTAAAGAATGGGAGGTGATAAAACTCAGAAGAGCATCAGAATGCTTGGAGGCAATCATTTCTCTATATAGAAATAAGACTCCACAGATATATTTCAAAAAGTAAACTACACACCTTGCCTTTTTTACTTCAAATCTAGAATAATCTGGTTCCACAGACAAATACACTGAAGTTCCTTTTACAGATGTAACCCAAATTGTGAAATTCAATGAGCCTACTACTCTTTTATTCTCATTGTATACTTTTTTCCCCCAGTACAGGAGATTGAACCCAAGGCTTCTATATCCTCAGATCTTTTTATTTTTTGTTTTGAGACAGGTCTTGCTAAACTGCCCAGACTGGCCTGGAATTTACAATCCTCCTACCTTAATGTCCCACATAGTTGGGATTACATGGATACTCTTTTTGTAATTCTTTGTGATATTACTAACTCCTCGCCATCCCATTTTTCAGGAAAGCTTCTATTTCCTATTATTCCAGCCTCTTTCTATCATATTTTACTTCATTTCTCATAGGCTAGGCTAGGGAAATTCTTTTTTTTTTTTTTTTTAATCATTGGGGATGGAACTCACGACCGCCTGCTTACAAGGCAGGTGCTTATGCCGCTGAGCTAAATCCCCAGCCTCCTCCTTTTTTATTTAAATTTTTTTTTAAGGGAAATTCTTTGAAGCCACCTTTCTTTACAATTAGAGTGATTCCCTTATCATTGTTCCCAATATGCATATTATTTTTAAGTTCAGTTAGATGGCAAAACAATTTTGCTGCTGTCTTAATAAAAAATATAGGCTTTATTTATTTCTTCAGTGAATTTCCCAATGTCTACTATACTATCAGTCAAAGAAAGCCTCCAAGAGCTAATGCAAGAGAAGTGTTTTCTTACACATATGCATACACTAAATGGTTTAAACTCTGGAAACTTCATGCAAATTCATAAGAAAATACAAACAATGACAAGTTTTCTTTCTTTCTTTTTTTTTTTTTGGTCTTTTTGAGCCAGAATCTCACTATGTAGTTCAGCCTGGCCTTGAACTCACTATGTAACCCAGGCTGGCCTTGAACTCATGGCAATCCTCTTGCCTCAGCCTCCCAAGTGCTACGATTACAGGCATGCACCACCATGCCCAGCTCTTTCCTTTAAATGAATCCATAGCAAATTCGGCGGATTCAGATCAATTTGATGAATTTGGTGTAATTATCTATAATGTGCTTAAAGTGAAGGCCAAAAAAAGTTGATATTTGTTTTTGGATTCACATTTTTGAATAATCTATTAGAAAAAAATAAAATGATTAACCAATGTAAAAATCAGGATTGGGTAATTATAGTTTGATGGAAAAGTTGATGAAACTTACGATATTGTCTGTGCTATTGCTCCAGCAACACCACCACAAAGTAAATTTATGTGAGTTTTCAAAACTAACACATTAGGATTGTCTGATGAAGGTCTGCCAAGAAGGGTAGGGGCATAGGAAAGCCCAACACTCTTTAAGGTACCAAAAGTAAAAAATGAAACACCTGAAAAACAAAATATAAGTTTACCATGATGCTTAATAGAACATGAGCTGTGACAGACACCTGTTATGTAATAACCACTTAACTCCAAGAACTAACTCCCCACTTCCTAATTCGGCCACTTGGCTTAATGTCAAGTACAGTGATTTAATGTTTATAAACACTAATGTTGGCAAAACTGACACCGTAAGAAAGGCAAGCATTGATTTTCACATGCTAGCACACTGAAGGGTTGCTACCTTTTTTCTTTTCTTTTTTTGAGATGGGGTCTCGCTATGAAGCCTGGGCTGGCCTCAAACTCAAGGCAATCCTCTGGCCTTAGCCCTTGGAGTGCCAGGGTTATAGGCATGTGCCACTATACCCAGCTGAGGCTGCCTTATCGATAAGTAGAATTCAATAATTTTCCCAAATTTTACATAAAAGAAAATTAAATTTGTGTTTAATAACTACAAATAAATATGAGAGCTTATATTTACAACGACAGTGTGATAACGTAAAGCAGAAATTCAGATGACACAGCATTTGTCTAATGTTGTCTTCGAAGAAGAGTGACCATAAGAGAAATGTTTCCATTAGCTTATAAGACTCCCAGAATGTAATTGGTGCTTGCAAAACACTGTATGATTTCTAACTAGAATGAAGTCATAATTTTTATTTTTTTGTATTTTTGAGACAAGGTCTTACGCAGTTCAGGCTGGCCTTTCTTACTTTGTAGCCCAGGCTGGTCTTAAATTCACAACAATCCTTATGCCTAAACTTCCTAAGTGCTGGGATTATAGGCATGCACCACCATGCCTGACTTTAAAGTTTTATTAAAAAGTGAAGAATCCAACCCATATCTGGTGGCACAAATCTATAATTCCAGCACCCTTCGAAGCTGAGGCAGGAATATAGCAAGTTTGAGCCCAGTCTGGACAACTTACTGATTTACTGAGACCCTGTCTCAAAACTTTAAAAAATTATAAAAAGGCCAGGAATGTAGTTCAGTGAGAAAGGCTTGGGTTCAATCCGCAGTACCACCAAAAGAAAAATAAAGAAACTATTCAGCCTAGCCTAGGCTAAGACCTCCATATCCGCATTCCCCCCCCCCCCCTTTTTGGCACTAGGAATTGAACCCAAGGCCTTCACACTGAGTTCATCTCCAGCATTTTTTTTGTGTGTGTGTCTTTTTACTTTTTTATCAGTACCAGGGATCGAACTCATGACTGCACATTTGCAAGGCAGGTGCTTATGCCGCTGAGCTAAATCCCCAGCCCCAGCATTTTTATTTTTTTGAGACAGGTTCTCATTAAGTTGCCCAAGTCAGGTCTTGAACCTGCTATCCTCCTGCCTCAGCTTCCCAGAGTGTTCACAATATAATAAATATATATAATCTACAGTATTTTAAAATGATACACAATTTTAGAATACACATACACTTTTTTTTTTTTTTTTTTGTACCGGGGATTGAACTCACGACCTTGCATTTGCCAAGCAGACACTTATGCCGCTGAGCTAAACCCCCAGCACTACACATACACTTTTATAACAGTATTTGTGATGAGTACTCAAAATATGAAAAATATTTGGGAAATGGGGAAAAACTAAGAAATGAATTTGTAGATACATTATAATTATGTAAAAAAAATTTTTTTTAAAAAGAACAGCTGGTCATGATGTTTCACACCTGTAATCCTGTACTTAGGAGGCTTAGACAGGACGATTGGCCTGAGTTTAAGGCCAGCCTGGAACACACAGGGAGACAAAACCAAAAGAGAAAAAAAAAAAAAAGAAAGGAAAAGAGGACCCAGGTATAATGAAGCATACTTATAACTCCAGAAACGCAGGAGAGACTGAGGCAGAAGAATATTAATTTGAGGACCTGCCATGGGAACTTAGAGCTTACATATTAAAATAAAAATAGTGGAGGGGCTGGGGATTTAGCTCAGTGGCATAAGCGCCTGCCTTGCAAGTACACAGTTGTGAGTTTGATCCCCAGTACCAAAAAAAAAAAAAAAAAAAAGCATTTCTAGAGATAAACCTCCTCCAGAAGGAGGAGTGTTTACCCAAAGGAAGAACAGACTAAAACAGTAGTGGAGAGCTTGCCTAGTAGGCATAAGGCTCTGGGCTCAATCCCAAGCACAAGGGAAAAGAGGACAAACCAGGAATGGTATAAACCTATAGTTCCAACTACTTAGGAGGCTGAGGTAGGAGGCCTATATATTCAAGATCAGCTGAATTTGAATTTAGATGTCCTCTACAAAACAGGGCATGAGGGCCAGGGATTTAGCTCAATCATGTAAGTACCTGCCTGGCAAGTATGAGGTTGTGAGTTCAATCCCCAGTACCACCAAAAAAAAAAAAAAAAAAAAAAAAAACAGGGCACGGGTTGACCCATCAGTTCAAGCCCAGCTTAGGTTACACAGTGAGACCCTGTCTCAAAAAAAAAAAAAAAGAGGTGAGGGACAGAGTGAGAATTACGAGTAAAAACTAAAAAACTGAAACGAAGGAAATAGGCAAAAAATAAAGTTCCGACTGCGGCCTACCAGAAGTCTGAGTAGTCTAAGAAACGCTGTCCTTACAGAACTACATCTACTACCAGTCTTGCAAACAAGGTGGAGAAACTGTAAGAATCACCCCAGCCAAGCATGATGACACACACCTGTGATCCCAGGTGAGTCTGAAGCCAGCTTGGGCTATATAAAGGAGATTCTGCCTCAAACACACAAGAATCACTCCAGCATCCCTACCTCCCTACCTCCCTCACAGCAAAAGACAAGGGAGGTGACTCTCCAAGGAAAAAGCTCTTGAGACACAACCTGCTGTTAGGCTACAGACAGAATTTGAAGCTTCTAGACGGTCCAGTTCTCAGAGAAGCATGCAGCAGAAGCTGAATGAACATTCTCCGGAAATTATGGGTTGTCTTGTGGTAAAATGCTGTGTTACTTGCATTGTTCTGCTCTGATCTGCTTTGTTATATCCTCTTTTGTCTTAATCTCTTTAAAATAAAAAATAAAAAAAAAAGAATATTCTCTGGAAGGGGAACATTAGACCTCTGAGTACTCAGTGGTCAATAACAAGCAAACAGTTCCTAATCCAAAACCGCCCAGCAGCCTGGCAAGATACACACACCTGTAATCTCCACAAACTGGGGAGCTGAGGCAGGAGAATTGTAACTCAAGCCCAATATGGGCAACCTAGTAAGACCCTGTCCCAGAATTTTAAAAGGGCTAGGAATATAATTCAGTGCAAAGGCCCTGGTTCAATTCCCAGTATGGAAGAAGGGAGGAGGAAAGCAAAGAAGGAAGGAAAGGAAGGAGAGAAGGAGGGAGGGAATAAATTTATATATTTATAAAAGGGTAGGAGAAATAAGCATGCAGAAAAACTATAATGCCAGCATTCAAGAGGCTGAGGCAGGAGGACTGCCATGAGTTCAAGGTCAGACTGGGCTATACAGTGAGTTTGAGGCCAGCCTGCGTTACATAGTGAGACCCTGTTTCAAAAAAGAAGAGGAAAAGGAAGGAGAAGAAGAGAAGAAGAGGAGGAAGAAGAGGAGGAACAGGAGGAGGAGAATATTAAAAAATAAGCCAAGAAAGCAATACAAAAGAAAATCAGTAAAAAGAATAAAATATGAAGATAAAGAAATCAATCTAAATGTATCAATAATCACAATACATATTAAATAAAAGATGGGAAAACAGAAAATAAGACGAAAAGCCAGGTGTGGTAGCACACACCTGGAATCACTGCATTCGTGAGGCTGAGGCAGTAGGAGAGGAGGCCAAGTTTCAGGCCAGCCTGGGTAACTCAATGGCTTGGAAAACTCTGTCTCAAAAATAAAGGGCGACTGGGTGTGGTGGTGCACGCCTGTACTCCCAGCACTCATGAGGCTGAGGCAGGAAAATTATAGCAAGTTCCAGACCAGCCTGGGCTACAAAGTGAGTTCAAGGTCAGCCTGAACTGCATAGTGAGACCCTGTCTCAAAAAGACAATAATAATAATAGTCCTGGGTTCAATCCTTAGTATAGAAGGAAGAAAGGGAGGGAGAAAGGAATTTTAAAGTCTTACATTAGCATGATATGTTTTGTTAAAAAAAAAAAAAAAAAAAGGAAACAAAGACAACTGAATACCAAATATTACAGATGAAATAATAAAGTGAATTTTGTTTAAAACAATTTGGTGGCTGGAGACATGGCTCAGTGGTTTTGCGCAGTCATGATGAGCCTATGGCACATGTATTACTATTTTTTTTTCTTTTAAAAGAAATGACATTAACAAAGTTATTTTTTTCTAAACTAAAATCTCAGTATTCAGGTTTATGGCACTTTTGTAATAAATAAGTGGGATTTGTGTTGCAGTTTGGGTACTCATTTCCTTTTTCTTTCTTCTTTTTTTATTTTCCTTTCTCTTTTTTTGGAAATAGGTTCTCAATATGTAGTTTAGGCTGGCCTCAAATGCCTAGTAGTCCTTCTGCCTCAACCTGCCAAGTGCTGGGATTACAGGCATGCACCACCATGCCTGGTTTGGCACGTATCTTTAAAAAGTTCACTGTCACTGGCATGTTCAGTTTCCAGCACCACACATACACATACATGCTGGGGATGAGGGCACACCGAGTAATTGAGAGAACAGATTACGATTGCTCACAGGCCAGGTGTATGGCGGCACACCCTTGTAATCCAGCACTTAGGGGGCTAACGAAGGAAGATTACCAGTTCAAGGCCAGCCTGGGATACAGTGAGTTCAAGGTTAGCCTGAACCGCATAGGGAACAACCCTGTCCAAAAAAACAAAAATAAACTGGGTGTGGCAGCACATGCCTGAAATCCCAGTCTTCGGGAGGCTGAGGCAGAAAGACTTGCAAATTTGAGACCTGCCTGGGCCACAAAGTGAGCTCAAGGACAGTCTGAACTGCATAGTGAGACCCTGTCTCAGACAATAAATAAACAAACAAACAAATAAATATAAACTGAAGGTAGGTGAGGTATGGTAGTTCATTTGTTATTGTCTACTTTTGAACATTTG